GCGCCTCCAATGTATTCACGTGTCAATCATTTTCGGCCGAAAATGTCTTTGAGATGACGGATGTGCTGACAGTGTACCGCATATGCGGTGTCATAATGGACAGGGATGCCAAGGATGTGATTAAGTTTACGAAAAAGTTAAACACTTTTAATAACATCTGCGCTAACGATCAGTTGGCACTCATTAAGTACGGGTGTCTTGAGGTACTGCTACTCCGGTATACCATGCTATACGATATCAATACGGAATATTGGACCTGGGTGTTGGTATGTTGCTGAATAAAGTTTTAAACTATTTTATATAGCAATTGTTTTTAAATTACCTAGAACACGGACAATTCACTGAAAGTGAGTTCATTCAAACTGGATGTCATGAAGTATGAGAAGCGAAATTTGTATGCATTTTATAAGAATTATTTTTATAAAATCATTCCCGAGTGGAGTCGCGATTTCATTATTTTAGACCTGGTATAAATATATATATATTTTTGTTATGTAATTAAATGTTAAAAGTATTGTTTTTATTAATTAATAGTTGACGGCAATAGTACTGTTTAATCCGAATCGACCCAATCTTATACACAGGGATGTGGTTAAGTATGTGATGAAAATATTTATTGTCTACAGATTTATAAGTAACAGAATTTCCTGAATCTATTATTCAGAGTCGAACAACAATTGTATATTTATTTACTGCAACGCTATCTGTATCTGAGATATCGATCGGATTTGGAAACACAATCAAAACTTTTAAAACTCATGAATCCATTGATAGATTTGCAGATAATAAGTGACATCGAGAAGGAAAATGGACACGAATTCTATTTAGAGACTTACGGACCTATTCTTAAGGAAATCCTTTACGATATCACACATTAATTTTTATGACATATTTATATAAGTGCAAATTTTGTAATAAAATTTACAATACTAAGCATGTTTAGCATTACACTAAAATACATTTCCCGTTGGACTAACTTATAACTTAATTACACTTTAGAAGTAATACCATTTACTTTGCTAACTCAAGAAATATTTTATAATGCTAATGATCAGTCGATAAACACGTGCATAATAGTTGATAAAATTATCTCTCTCAATTTATGCTTTGTTATTAACTATAAATTAATATACTGTAATAAGTAAATTATTGAGCAAGTAAATTTTAACTATATTTAAAAAGTTCTACGTATTCTCAGCAAATTTCAAATGGTGTAATATTGCTATATTTTGTGATATTATTATAAATAAATATAAATAGTCTAGAATAATTTGATTTTAACTCGTGACAGATTGGATAATACTTGAATTCTTAGAAATATTCTTATCAAAAACTTATGCTCACTAAATTACTAATCTACCTTTTCAATAACTAACATACATGTATTTCCCCACCTACTATGCTGTAGTTAAATAAGGCACTCATGTACCTTTATGACTAGAGGATATTTTGATAAAATAAAAGGCCTTTTTATATAAAAAGCATATGAACTCAATTAATAAACTGATTAGAAAGTCATATATTTATACCATTTATTTTAATTCAGACATAATATTAAATGATACTAAATACGATAATGATTAATAATTATTTGGCAAATTCAAAGTTATAAATATTTATACAAATTGTA